TAGGTAGGGCAGTTAATGCCAGAGAGGGCTGTCTTGAACAACCCACCCTGATATTTGATGTTTGAGATACCCTTGAGCTAAATTAAGGCGATGTGACACCAAATGATTGATTGAAAAATTTATTAACAGCAGAAGCTATTTTAAGATAAGCCAATTAAACCCTGTTTTTTTTAAGCTCTGTAGACAGTAGATATTAAACTCTTATTTTAAAAAGGGCTGAATGGCCCATAACATATAACAGAGGGAGAGAGAAAAAGAGAGGAATAATAGAAGTAGAGGAGAGATTCGGATCACCACCCTGAGTACCAGTGACATCTCCAGTCCAGCTCCTGATCTTGTCAACAATGGTGGTGAGTGCACGCCAAGATACAGCTCACTACTCCTTAAATACTGTGGCTTATTTGCATGGCTTTCCTGGGCTCATTTGCATGTGAGGCAGGGGGGCGGTGTTCAGATCTCACTTTGCACACTATTTACTTGGTATGCGCAGTCACAAGCCTTGAGAACTTTTATGGCTCCTGAACAGCTGTTCAGCTTACATAACTCTCAGTGGTCTGCGCAGGTGTCACTGTAGGGATGGTCACGAAGCCCCTTCCTCAAATAAACGCTGAGTCGTCCTGCCTGGCAGCACAGAACTACACATTCCTTGGCGTGGCCCCCACACCCAGCAGGAGCTGCCCACCTGCTGCCTGTGTCCCCCCCAACCTGCGGCTCACTGTGCTATGCAGCCACAATGCTTGAGGCAATAGCTCTTTCAGTCTCTCACAATTGTCTTATGAGCAGATTCAGTGAAGCCCTGTTATTGGTCATACTAGACAAACAGATTATGCAGGACCTCTACCAAAAGTGCAGGGATTTCAGAACATACCGGTGATGGTGGACACATGTACCAGCTACATTGCTGTGTCCTCAGCTGCATCTGTCAACCAGTGGAACACTGAAAGGCCTGTGGTTAGCCAGTGGATAGGCCCACCTGCCTGCATCCAGTTGGACAACAGGTCTCAGTTTAGAGGCCAAATGGTCTGACAGTGGGCAGCTGAGCATGAAGGACACAGGGTATATCACATACCTATCACCCCAGAGGAGCTGATCTAATGGAACAGACCAATGCCTTATTAAAGGAACAGATGCGTGCACAGCTCCCCTTTCACACTCTCCATAACCGCTCAACAGTGCCATTATAGGTTGTAAAGAATTTGAATAGTAAAGTATGCCTCCTATCCTAGCCTCTTCTGCTGGGATATCAGCACTATGAGGTACAGTTCAGGATGCTGACAGAGCCCAGCAACCCCTCAAGAGTCAGAAGCAAATGCAAACAGCAGACTCTTCGAGGGAAACTCATCCCTGCAAATGGACACATGGACCAGGAGCCACGTAGTCAATCCTAAAGGAACAAGCAGACATTCTTCATTACACATCTGAACTTACACTGTATGTAAAAAAAAGTCTTTGTTTTATCTTACACAGAACCGTTACATGGATCCTCCAAGTATTGCTTTTGATCTCTGCATGCTGTACGTCAATCAACATGAAGTACCAGGCATCTCCACCCTTCAGCAACACAAAAGCTCCTCTTCATCTACTACATCACATCACTGGACTATTTGGTGAAATTCACACCACCGTGTCTTAGGGTACATGGGACTAGGGACCTGATGGCAGGACATCTCTGATGGTCCTAGCTCCAAGGTTACTGCTATCCTACACCTATTCTTACAATCAATATTTGCTTTATTACTCTGGTATTATTAATTTTAGTGGGGGTTTTTTTGTAAAATAACTTTTCTGTTAGCCAAAAAAACTTACTTGTATAATCTGCAATTTACAGTATCTGTAGGAAAGGTCAACTGACTGTGGATCAAGGGGTGGAAGTTAGTCATTCTGACCGGAAGACCATTGTATATCGAGGAGTTAGTGATCCACAGAACAGCTGACCTGGGTTGGCTGAAGCCTGTGCTGTGCTGTACAGTGCTGCACGTACAGCCTGGCCTTCAGGCTGTCCTGTGCTGCACACATCCCTTGGCCACAGGATGAACTTAGACAACTAACTGTAAGGAGGAGTCTGTCATCAAGCTCCCACTCACTATTGGTGATTACACCACCTGCGTGGCCTTGCCTTTATCTAAAAGTGCAGCAACAAGTTCTCATTTTTGTTTGACAGTACAAATGATGAATAGAAATATTTTCTTGTAAGAAAATCCTCTAAGAACTCAAAAGACCACAGTGCTGACTAACCTCTCTACTGACGGGATCTGTATGGTGTGCCTCGTTGGAGACCCACCCAATGCTGCCCAACTCAGGACTCCCAGTGTCTGAGTGGATGTCAGATTATCTATACTGTCCTCTTTTTTGTTATCCTGTTAGCTCAAATAAATGTCATTTTTATATATATACTTTACAGAGTCAGAGTGCTTTTCTTACTGGAATCATAATGAACCAGCACCTCCTGCTGCCAAAGCATTCAGGTGTTTTTTCAGAAGCAAGTTGTAGATTTAAAAATCATTCAGATTAACCACAATGATAATATTGTATCTTCTGCCTTTATGTGAACCAAGTACTAACTGACAAAAAATCTTGGAATCTTTAATTCCACTCAGACTGTAAAATGTTTTGTGCTCTTTTAAGACTTTATCACTTCTCTGATCCCTTTTCAAAGGCCATCAAATAGTATGTAATTTTCAGTTCATCTTTATCATTCAATCAGTGGATTGGGCACCTTTTGCCTCCCTCTGCTCTCATTTTCTAAACAATCTTTCCATCTGCTTGAAGAATGAAAGACAGTAAAAGAAAAAGAATTCCTTATATATTCTATAAAGATGTTATTGTCATATTCTGTACATTAATTCATTATTCATGAGTGATATATTACTTATATTCCCAGACAAAATTTACCACTTCAGCCCAAATCAACAAAGGCCTACAGACACCTGAGGAGCCCAAACATACTTGCAGGAAAGGAAGGGTGATGGAAATACCAAGTGCATCACCATTGGCAGGCAATGTGGTTGGCTTTTCACAACAGTCATGGTCTACCAGGTCTTGCTCTGCGCCAAAGCACAGTGGCCATTTAGTAGAGGATGCAAGGTAGCAGAGACCCAGTCAACCTGTATTGTAGATGTCATTCTTTCTTCCTTCATAGTAAAATGATTGTGCTTTACAGACGAGTGGATTTCTTCCAGAAGTTCTGTGAGGACTTCCCCAGGTCAATACCCGCTCCACCTGCAGCAAAGATCTGCATACTGGAGTTTGGGGTGGTTATGACAGTCACATTTATATTTAGATATTTAGATTTAGATTGTGACTGTCAGATAAGCAAAGTCATGCATTAAAGAGTATGCACACAGTGATACAAGTGACATAGGCACCCTGATGGGGGCACAGTGATTTTCAGAGTTCCTCAGAGAACAATAAGAGTTCTTGTTTAATAAAGAATAAAACCTACTTAATGACCGCCATCAACTTTCCTGGTCTCACATCTTCTGCTACTCCTTTCCAATGCATATGCACTCAGCTTGGTAAGAAGCGTCAGAAGTGAATTTGCAATGGGTTACTGATATTAAAGCAAAGTTCACTACATCCCTTACACAAATTTTATTACTTTGGAAAAGTTTTTACAGATTTGAACTTATCTCCTTGCTGTCAATTAAGAACTAAAAAGGTATACTGTAATTGTGAGCAACTATTTTCACAGTCTTAATTTGCCCCATTGTGTCCAAAATGGCTTTTTACATTTTTTTGTGAATGAAGGCAGTAGCAAGTTTTCTTAGTTTGCACAAGCAAACACTCTAAATAAGATGAGAATTTCTCCTGTCATTTATCATGTATTGCAGAATAAAATCCTTGGAATGCATTCTTACACCCAATGACGCAAGTCTATCCAATTTCTTGCACTGTTTCGGTCAGGTCATTTACTCAGGTAATTTACAATGGTATGGATGTGTTCAGAGAACAGAATTTGGTTTGTGACCAAGATGGCCAGCAATCATCCAGACTGTGAAATTACCTTCAGTGCTAGGAAAAAAAAGTTACTTGTTAAAAAAAAAAGACAAAATTAAAGTATTTATAACTAAGTACCATCAGGAAGTGACTGTTTTGAAGACTGATTGATGTCCTGATAGCTACAGGAATGCCAGAACAGGCATCAGCCATAAAATAGCATCATTTTCTGTGGTGCATGCAATTAGTAGTTTTATCTTTTATAGCTTATCCCTTCCTCCAAGAGGAAAAAAAGCATTCAAGGTCAGTGTTAGAATGAAAATCATATTAATATGCTGAAAACTCTAAGGTAAACGAGACTGCAAAACTTGAACTCATCTCAAGCAGCTCATCTCAAACTATAGGCATTGCTGGGCAGTTTATCACATTTCCTTACTTTGACAGGCTTCTCATGTTACAGTACCACACTTCTTATCCAAGTCTCAAAAAGAAATAAACCAACAAAGCCATTTGCTCCGATATCTGAAAACAGGATTCACTACCACCCACCCAACTCTTGCAGGGCTCTGCAGGCGGTGGCCTCTCTGAACAGCAGCAGACACCCCGCAGGGAAGCGCCAGGTGCCTCTGTAAGGTGACACCTTCTGAAGGGAGGGTTACAGGTAGGGAGACGAGTGTCTCACAAACATCAGCTCCACGTTCATTGTCACACCCTGGTCTAAATGATACTTTTAGAATTGTGTCCAAATCTGGTGGGAGGGGGGAAGCCTGGGGGAAATGCTGTTTCTCACATTTCTATCTTTCTTCTTCCTGATTTCCAGTTAGGGAATGAAGAAAGGCCTATAAGTAATCGTCTTTTCCTGAAATTTTATCATAACTATTTGCTATCTGTTCTCTTTGGTCCCTTGACAAAGTCCGTCGAAATCCTCCAGCGTTCAACCCGCGAAGTCCTCGCCCCGGCACGGGGAGAAAGTAAACTCCAAATTAAACAAAAATAAATTGGGGGGGG